TCACACACCAGTGCTGTTCACACACACACATGCTAGTGTTGTTGACACACACACACACACACACACACACACACACACACACACACACACACACTGGTGACAGTTTTATCTGTGACAACATACACACAAAATCTGGTGACAGTTTTATCTGTGACAACACAGAGCCTTGTGCATTATGGTTTGGAGTGAATTTATATTTCTGAACTAAGGACGTTAAATTACGTTTAATCAGCTAATCGAGTAGTCAATGGAATGTCCACTGACTACTCAAATAATCAATAAGGGGGGAAACTGCAGAACCACAGCAGGGTTAGTTTTCAGGCTGAGAGCTAACCCCACTGAGGCTCTGCCACCCAGCTATTACTACATTTAAAAGGCAGAGCCTCAGCGGAGGACCAGGCACGAGCCAAGACTCAGCTATCCTGGCTCGCATCTGCTCTGCGTGTGGCCTCCTTTGCTCCCCTGAAAAGACGGTGCTGAGGGTAACCGGCTTTTAAGTTGGCTCCCCCCAGCACTGGCTCCTGCTCCACCTCTTGGTGCCTCTGATGGCAGCAAAGGCGGGGGGAGGGGCAACTAGTTGAGTACCGACTCGTCTACTCAAGTAGTCACTTACATCCCTATTCTGAACCCATGAACAGTGCATTCTAACTTGGAAAAAAAAAAAGAAAAAACCTAATCTGGTAAACCAGGCTGATAAACACTGTATCACTGAGGCAGCATTTAAACAGAATCCACCATTGCTTTCAGATAGGGATATCAATAAAAGATGGTTACTGCTTCATTAGCATAAACATGGCCGCCGCTTTTTTCCAAAACAGAACTTTTTCGAAAAAAGGGAGTCTAGATGCAGATCTGTCGAAAATAAACCCTTTTTCGAAAGATCCTGTAAACCTCAATTTTTGAAGAATACAGGATCTTTCGAAAAAGGGGTTATTTTCGACAGATCTGCATCTAGACTGCCTTTTTTTCCGAAAAAGTTCTGTTTTAGAAAAAAGCGGCGGCCATGTTTATGCTAATGAAGCGTGGGATATTTAAATCACTGCCTCATTAGCAATTTCAATGTGCCTAATCTACATCTCTCAGTTGACAGAGAGGTGTAGTCTAGCTGCAGCCAGAGAGGGAGGGATGTGACCTGCCATGTATATTAGTGTCCCCACCCCCATGGTGAGGCAGTACTTGAATATGTGCCAGTCTTGGAGGATGGGGCAGAGCAAGAGTGGAAAGAAGGTGGGCCGGGGTGAGGCATTTAGGGGTGGAGTATGGGCTGGGCCTAGGATAGAGTGAGGCTTTAAGCACCCCCGTGGAAATCTGGAAGGTAGCATCTATGCACTAAGGTGGGACCTGATAAGCACTTTCAAATATGTTAAGAGCTGTTATAAAAGAGGATTATGACAAATTATTCTCTGTGTTCACTTGAGATATGACAAGAAGTACTGGGCTTAATCTGCAATAAGATTTAGGTTAGGCGTACCAGCTAGAGATGGTTTAGATTGATTTGGTCTTGCAGCAAAGCAGGGGGCTGGACTTGATGACTTCCAGTGGTCCCCTTCAACCCTACATTTCTATGATTCTATGAATCACTGTGCTTAAAAAACAGCCACATTCCACACCCAAGAGGAGTGACTATCTGTGGCACACAGAGTAATGCACAGAGTTTATAAAGCTCTTTGGATCCTTCTGGATTAAAGAAAATCAATGCAAATTTTTGCCATATTGTTTTACAATGTGTTACAGACCCAATCGCCAACTTAAATCCTGTTGCTGCCTCTTGCAAAGTACCCAAACCTACCTGACTTTCTGCATATGCCAGCTGTAACTAAATGAAGTAGGAGTTCACTGAGAGTCGAGCTGTAAGTATCTTATTGTGTGTGAATACTACACCCAAGCATCAACTGAAGTCCAGCCAACAAAGATTCTCTCTCTGTTTGCCTCGAGTCACAGATATAGGGGTCTGTTTTCAATCCACTGCTCAGAGAACAAGGATTTGTTCAGAACTCCCACCGACTTACATGGGAGGTCAAGTCACTACAGCCATGCATGTAGATAGATACATGAAAAAACTTATTAAACAAACAAATTCCAGTTTGATAAGCATCTCTGAGAAACACCCAGAATTTTCATGAAAACAGGATTTTAACTGGAAAGCCAAAATTAGGCTCTGCTGCTAACATGCGGGATGCCCTCGATTCCAATGGAAACACAATGGACTTAATTCGGAGTGAGCAGATATGAACACAAGTAGTTCAGGGAGATTTGTCTGTTTGTATCAAGCCTGACTTTGGCCATAAAGGTATGTCTACACTGTACCCGTAGCTCGAAATAATAGATTATTTTGAAATTGGGCACTGTCTATACAGTGCTATTCTGAAACATCCCTTAATCCTCATGGAACAAGGTTTACAAGGACATCCGAAAAATGAGCCAGTTATTTTGAAAGCTATTTTGAAATAATGAGCTTGTTTAAAAACGTGGAATAGCTATTTTGGGGATACTGGAAGTATCCCGAAATAGCTATCCCGCATCTTTTGAGTTAGCCTGTTATTTTGAAATATAACAGGCTTGCTATTCCGACATCCCTGTGAACCTCATTCCACAAGGAGCAAGGGGCGTTTCAGAATTGTGCTTTATTTTGAAATTTGACGCTGTGTCGAGTGCGCCGAATGACGCAATACGCTGTTTCGAAATGAACTCGAACTGAGCGACGCAATTTGCATCGCTCAAATCGCGTAGCTTATTTCGAGCTAAGGGGGCTGTGTAGACGCTCCCCGAGGAGAGCAGGAGTACAGACTTCGAACTAACCAGCCCGTTATTTCAAAATAGCAGGCTTGGTAGCAGGGATGCTCCGCTTGTTATTTCAAAATAACTCCCCGGTGTAGACCAGGGCAACAGTGCCGCAGAACCACGCGCTGTTTTCATCGTTGGACGCTGGTTCAACTTTCCTCTGCTGCTCCGTTTGCCCAAACCCAGATGCATTAAAAATAAATGTAAAAAAAGCGTTCGGCTGAGATTTTCAAAGTTGCCTAGAGGATTTGTGCACCTGGCTCCACGAACATGGTCAAGAGTGGGCCAGCAAAGCTCCCAAGGAGACTTGGAAAATCTCCACACACAGACACAGACATGCCAGTGCTGTTCACACCCACTCACACACCAGTGCTGTTCACACACACACATGCTAGTGCGCCAGTGCTGTTCACACACACACTCACACACATACATGCTAGTGTTGTTCACACACACACACACACACACACACACACACACACACACACACACACACACACACAGTGTCTCTCTCTCTCTCTCTCTCTCTCTCTCTCTCTCTCTCTCACACACACACACACACACACACACACTGACTGACTCTCTCTCTCTCTCTCTCACACACACACACACACACACACACACACTCTGCTTCACAAAGC